CAGTCTGGCAGGGTGATTAAGGAACAGAACTGAACAATGGGTGATTTAGATGACACACTAGAAAAAGCGTTCTTTTGTTTTTTTTAAATCCTCAATGTGTATCATGTCACACTACTCTCAAATAAAGCTGCAGTGCCCTGAAAATAATCTTAGAACAAAATAGCTTCATTTTCAAATTACAAAAAAGATTGTTACAATGTCTTTAATTTGCATTTTTCAAAGAATCTACATATGCATTACGTCTACTAAACAGGTCCTGTTTTCTTGTCTGACAAAAAAAAATGTTCATGCTGGGATGCACATTATCATAATTGTCATTCCCAATCTTCAAAAACAAATGTGTATTAAGATAGTAACAAAAATAGGCCTTCTGCTGAAAATCAGACAATCAAAATCTTTTGTAATTAAGCACAGCGATATTCTAATTACCAATAATTCAAGCTACTCCATGCTGCTTCCTGTCCCCCCTCCACAACAATTAGAAAAATATATGTCAGCTGTGATTTTTCCTTTATTTCACTTTAGAGTGGCACAGTGGGGGATTTATTCAAAAACAATGACATTTATAACTCTTCTCTGGAAGAACTGCATTTATTCTTTACTCAGCAGGAAAACCTAAGTTTTAAGTGACTGGAGTAAAGGTCTAAAGCAATTTGCATAGCTGCATAACACCATAAAAAATAGAAACTCTTGACAATTATAATTGTAACAGCAAAAAAAGTAAAACTTCTACTTAAGAAATCCTTTCTCTTACAGTCGCATTCATGACTGCACATGGATGTACATAATTTTGCAGGATGAGCTACAGTAGCCCGAAAGCTACTGACCTTGTGACTACATTGTCTGACATTCATCATTTGATCATCACTCTGTAGGTGAGCTCTTGCCTAACCAGGCTGTTGTTATAGCGTTGATTGCATTCTTCAAGTCTCCCACACTACTATTAGCTCTGAAAACGGCGAAAAGAAACTTGTCTCAATGTCATTAATCCTAACTTGTTTGGACTCCTCACGTTGACTCTCCCACACATCTCTTTTTCTCCATTTTTTTTCTCTCTCAGCACATACTATTGCTCTCACTCTCTCTGCCTCGCTAACATGTTGACAGCAGTTTGTTAGTAGGTATCAGTTTTCAGCGAGCAGGCTGAGAGGGAGAGAGGGATGTGGTAATCATCTCTATCTCCGGCTGCTTGGCAGCGTTCCCCTCGGCATGCTGGCAGACACTTGCCATTGAGCAGCTGTCAGGCAGAAAGGGTGTGGGATGTGGGCTCAAGCTACACAGGTCATGGTCATTTCTTTCCAAAAGCCACTGAAGCTAAAACCTTAAGTGGCATTTGAGCTACCTGCACTGTCAGTTCTGACACTCACAACACTAACAAGGAGACCACCGGTAGAGAGTCAAACTCGATTATGCCTCCCTGGTGGATTTCCTTAATATAGCTTAGCTACTGCCAGGCTTGTTTTTCTAACACTTAGCACATGCTTTCAACGTTATGAGAGTTGTTCTGCAGATGTGCAAAGTAAAATTTTGAGCTATATCTAAAGATTTACCAGAAATACATTTGACCCATTAATTAATATAACACACACACACACACACACACACACACACACACACACACAGTATTTACTATTGATATATATTTCAAATTAATATTTTTCATAAATTGTCAGCACAATGCAGACTACAGTAGTAGTAGTTTATATTGCATAAAGGGAGCTAATTATGCGGATATTTCTGAACCGTTTACTGCCCGACTTTCTAAAAAACAACAAGCTCTATGGTTAAAAAAAGTGGTGTGCTGATTCATTGCCAGGTAAAAACAAAGAAATATTTTCACTTCAAAAAATAAAGATGAACTTTGTGTACCACTTTTTCTCACATGCCAGAATAACAGTCATGCCCTCCATCATAACAATTATTCTGTATTAATTCTAGGCTGTCTTTAGTTCACAAACCCAAAGCCCCTTAGTTTATGCTGAATTATTTGGAAACATAACTAATCAGCAAAAAAAAAATTCATGTTCCACAGAAAGGTTAAAACTTAAAACAAAACTGTATGGAAAAGTGGTCTTACTTCCACGGCTGCGAACTGAATTGTGCCTGATAAGTTGCAGGCTCTCACAACCTGGACTTGTGATCTTTAGAGTGATACCCTCAAGTTCATAGCAACAAATACACTCAATCACTCAGGGAGATCCTAAGTCTCTCTGTTGGCCAATTACTGCCTTTAAAAAGCCTGGGGCACCCAGGAAACTTTGACTCCTGGAAATAAAGACCAATCTGAGAGAAAAACATTGCAGCTATTAAAATCTTTATAATTCTGTAAATCACAAGTGATTTGTTTTGCCCCATGGCTTGTTCCGATACATCCTTGCTGCTATTGCAAAGGGCATAGGGTGACTACAATTGAGTAGAGCAAGCTTATTTTTACAACTAAGCTTGGAAAAAAGGGATGCCTTTTTCTTCTTCTTTTTTGAGTGCAGAAGGCAAAGATCTCCTCTGTGTCATAATTGCCTGAAGTTAGAGAGTAAAGGCTCTGGACTCCTGATGTTAGTGTGGGCCTTTCATCAGGGGGGTTGGAGTCAGAGCTGCTTTAAAAGATCAGCCACTCTGGAGGATCAGACTCTGTTTTTATTTATGTGATAAAGGCGTTTTAAAAGAGAGAAAAATGATCATCACTTATCTACTGTTGCATTAGATGTTTCCCGGACTGGTGCCGTCATTGTAGGGGTTTGCTGTTTTTGTTGATGGTTAAGGCTCCCATTATTCAAAGCAGATTTACATTTTTCCCAATTATTTCATTTTTGAACTTCAATATTAAGTATGCTATACTGATTAATTTTGAGGATAGATGCCGAAATTAGCCTGCTTATTCAAACAAAGTGGAAGCCAAAAGTGGTAGAGAGGATCATGCAATTATGAGTAAAATCACTCCAATTAAACACTGCCATGTTAACTTTTAGAGAGCACACACTCCACATAATATAATTAGAAATTGGGATGAAAAATGGAAAAGAAAACAGCAACATTATAGAATGAAGCATTTACAGTTGATGGATTCTCAAAAAGCTCTTCTATCCTCTGGTGCTCAGGGTTAAGAATGGCACTCTTCTGCTGCCGCAACACTCTCCCTCCCTACTGCCACACTCCCCATTCAGTAGCGCAAGGCCCTCCGGTACTAGACAAGGGCCCTGACTGAGGACGCTTTGATACTTCAGCCTCTAATCACCAGAGTATCCTTATAGCGGCAAGCTGATGGACGAACGGGTCATAGGAAGGATGTCCCAACCATAAATCAGACTACAGGGGTGACAGCACACAAAATAGGTGAATTGTCCTTGGGTTCGTGATGCTGGCGGCATCCCTTGTGTCACCGAGTCACACCACCCTTTTTATTATTTGGGAGCGAGTCAAACGGATGCCCTACCAGCCACTCTGCCCTCCCCCCCTTGTATTTTTCCCTTAGTCTTCAAGCCTGGACCCTGCTATGAACTGTTTCCAGAGTCAGTTACTGGTGTAATTGAAAGTGCTTTGTCATCGCTTTCAGCCAAATACTGATGGATGTGAAGTTGAATGAGGTTTGGGTTTTAGTTATACGAGTGAGGCTGTGTGAGATTTATCACCAGAGGCTTAAGAGGCTACAAGGGACCATTAAAGCACCACCGCCTTCTACATCACAGTGAACTGTTCATTATTATTCATTAAAACAGAAGGCCTTTAATATGTCTAGTTTCCCATGTGAAAAGAAAAATTGTACATACATGTTTTTGATGACTGCTGGAAAATGAAAAACTGTTCAGTTGCCCAGTTTTTACAGTAAACTCAGTCTGGTGCAGTTAAATATGGATTTTATATAGTATAGGTAACACATAAAAAAGTAAGTTGGCCTTGGAATTCATAAGCAGTGACATGAGAGAATAAATAGTTTTGCAAGTTTCAGCAAAATCAAAAGCTCCAGTAAGCCTCTTTTTATGCCTTCACATGTACTATATAAATCTTTGCTCTTTACAGCTTTGCACTGAATAATACATATTCTCTTAATTTGAGGTCTGTTATGTTAAACATACAGCCTTAATGTATATATACACACACTCTAAACCCACCAGTGGTTTTCACATTCATATTTTCATAATTACAGTGGCCTATGGAAAACCTATGAAACCATTTAATTTCAATTCTGGATCGACATCCACATGCAAAGCGTGGGAGGTGTGCTAGTTCTCATTGTCTCCCACTTATTATAGGCTGCCCCCAGCTGCCTGGGCTGTGAAGGCCTGGATCCTGGCTCACGTCCAGCTCGGCTCTGATCTGGGCCTCTTTGTGATTTGAGGAGTATAGAGCTTTGCTGGGCTGCTGTCCTAGAGCCATGTTGGAATGCAAGAGCAGTGGTGGAGGTGCAGAGGGAAGTGACCTCACTGTGTGATGCGAGCAAGAGTACGGGGCAAGAGTTACACACTGAGGTTGGTTGTATTATAAATAAAGTAGCGTGTGGTTTCTGTGCTGCAACCGGGAAATAGGAAAAGGTGAATACCAGTGCTCACAGCATAGTTGTAAATGGTGCCCTCTCCTAACACTGGTTCAAGGCTGCCAAGATAGCATGGCCAAATAAAGTAGATGTAATAGAAAAATGTTTCCCAATTTCTACATGTTCTCAGAGATTCTTCTGCTCCATTGTGTTGCTATGATTAATTTCTGCCTTATCATTAAATAATATTTCTTATTTCTGGGGGTGGGTGGGTCACGAGCGAAGGGAAGTAATACTTTTTTTTTGCTCATGTTCATGTTCTTGTGTTTGTGTTATCTCTTTTTTTTTAAATATTTAAACATTTTAAAGAACAGAAGCATAAAACATATCTAAGTCTTAACTTCAAACACAAATAAAATCAGCTTTCTTTTGCCAGCTGTCTCTGATGATAGAATGTGGGAATGTGCTGACATTGTGCGAGAGCCAATCATGTGGACTGCTGACTGTGTGTTGAGGGATACTTGTGACTGACCTGTCTGAAGCTCGTGTGCATGCGGGTCGTCTTGTGATGCAGAGGAGGAGCAGGAGGAGAACAAAAGACCAAGACCCTGCCACAGGCACAAATACCTGGGAGGAGAGACAAAGACAACTTCACTCTAACAGGAAACACAGTGTCCAGGATAAACAGTGCTTACCTAGACGCACCATCAGTGTGAAACTTAATATGACTTCTAGGACATCCCTCTGGGAGAATGTTACAGCTCTCATAGTTTTGTTGTTGTTTTGGCACCGTGCGACCAAGTTTATCAGCACCAGCTGAATTCAGTTACGCCGAAAGCCTAACAAGTTATTCCTCACAGACTTAATAAAACACATTTTCAATGTAGGTGTCATTTTCTATATTAAGCGTTTCATAATGCTACGTGTGGATAAATCTCTCAAGAAGAAATCAATAGATATGCTGTTGCCTATGGGAAAATTAGCATGGTAAATGAACATTAACTTGCAGATGGTTGGGTATGGGGCATCGCTGTGGCTCCTAACAAACAATTGATTAACTTGTAAATTCCCATTGCCCAGCTGTTATTCAAGCTGTTTACCATAAATAAAAGAGGGGGAGTAGAGAAAGGATCCAGATGCTTTGAGTGCTGCAGAAAGGCAATCTGTCATTGTTCTCAACTAACACTGATGGATGCTGCTTTAAATGGGGATTGGTTTTAGTTAAACATGACAAAGTGAGGGATGACACGCCATTGGTCACAAAGGTCTGGAGGTCCAGCAACGCCTCAGCAGTTGCTTTTTTCAGCCAAGACAACCTCTTGTTCGTGTATCAGCTGCCAATGAAAGGGATAAGTTGTTGGGGTAGGCTTTCAGGTTTGTTTGTTTTGTGTGTTCATCCTGAAGTTGAGAAATGGGAAAATGAACAAAACTTCACATGAAGACTACAGCAAGATGGCAGCCAGTAGGATTAGAACATAATCTACTTTCTTTCTACTCTCCAACAAGATTCATTTCCAAACATTTATAATAAATGGAAAGCAGTATGATTTCACTAGGTTCACCACGGCTCAAATTTGAAGTATGAGAAATCCTTTTTACATCTGACTTGATGCTTTAGTCAATTTGTTGAGTACAATGAAAGTACAGCTCATTACACAGAACCACTGTTGTCATTACTGTAAATATTCCAACACATTCTAACCTTTGGACGCCTCACAAAGTTACTGTTGAATTACAGTATGTAAACTAGGAAAACCATTTAGAAATTTGTAAAATTACTTAGCTATAAAAGTCGTGATTGTTTCGTTATGTATTGAACCACACACGTTGGCAGTACACCAAACCAAGTTTTGACATCAGGTTAAAACATTAAGTGCAGACATCTAAGTTTAGTCATACAGTATGATATACAAATATAAAAAAGACATGATGTGTTTAGAGGATATGGCTGTCAATGGACAGGAGCATGAGAAAAATAAAATCCAGTCTCAACCAGACTTCAGTGTGATGTCAGATTGTGAATGGTCCAGTAAAGCCTGCTTCTCAACGACCCCAAAAATAACCAAGGATGATGTAAAATGCATATGGGCCTCTCTTCCAGCTGCAGAAGATCACATACGTATATGTTCTCAGTAGAGGACGACATCAGAGATCTGGAAGGAACAAGACAAGCCTTTCTTTGGACTGGAGACTTTAGGCTGCTGGCCCCAGAAGTGATCTAGTTTCCCAGATGCGGGGGGGGATCTACAGAGCACCACTGAGGGACAGTTTAAGTAAAGACTTCTGCAAAGCTCATCATTCATTGTCAAATAAGGTTGAGGTAAAAATCCAACCTACATATACTCCTTTCATCTTCTATCATTGACTGTTTACTTTTCCACACGTAGAACAGCTATCCCATAAGCTTGCCAGAAGAGGGGCAAGATTTCAGAGTTCTTATTTAAAAACACTCAAGAGTCACACAGACACACATGAAGTCACATAAAATTATACAGATGTTCTTCAGTTTTAATGGTTTAATGTTTTAACCAAACTTTGCTTTACATTTTTTAACATCAGATAAGATTAGAGACTTTTCACGTTATAGATTTTTGTACTGGTGACTCAATGGACCTCTGAATGAATTTGGCAGTCATAGCAGGTTCTGCGTTTTGATTTACAGGTAAGGAGAAACTTTTGTTCATATTTGAATTGTTTTTTTTTTTAAAAGACGCAATATAGTGTATACTCATTGCATCAGACTCAAACTGACCCTTCAGATGTTGAATGTTGGCATTTAATAACCGTCCAATATTAAAATATTACAACACTACATGTGTACTTTTTAAATAAAATTTGGCAGACAATGGCATACAACTTACTAAGAGATATTTCAGTCAGGCAGTTTAGCTCAAATTTAATAGTACTTGGATGAAGATTTCAAAATTCCCCCCCATATAATCTTAATGACATCAAAATGGCATTGTGTATTTATTGTTCTCAGCCGCATACATGCAATCCAGTTATGGTAATAATGACAAACTATGGACACATCTCACATTGATAAACCTCAGGATATCTGATGAGAGTAATGATGCCCATTCTAACCTGAGCCTGTGTTACTTTACAGACAAGCTACAGTACTTCACATATTCCGACTCCTAGTATTGATTTAGCCTGAACCTTGTTAACTCTACCTGAGCAAAGCTGACCACTGCTGTGTTTATAACTTTGAGGAGAATTTTTTTTGACAGGTCAGATTTCACGAGTAGTGATGTACAATTATTAACTTAAATTGCTTTTTTCTCATCACAAAGCATTATGCTGAAATGTACAAAAGAAAAGAAAACAGACATCCATTTTTGTTGTTAGTTGCCTAGCAACAGTAAACTCATGTCCCACGTCAGAAAAAACAAATTCACTTATTTCATAGCTACATCTGAAAATGTCATAATGAATATACATAGCTCCCAAGCCTACAGTAACACATAAATTGTTTCCCTAGAGACAGACTCACCTTTTCTTGAAAGATTCACAATTTCACACAGACAGTTTAACGAATGAGGTTGTTGTTTAGACTCTCAGTTAGGAACTACGCTGATGACAGAAAGAGAAGATGATGGCGACTGTGTGATCAGGTTTACATACATTTCCTGTAAAACTCAAAACAGCATTATCCATTGTGGGGAAAAAACAAAAACCCTTTCGAGTTTGTCCATTGACCAAATGTTTGAGACAAACTGCTCAATAAATCACAATAAGCAAGGGATGCATTAGGAATTATTTACTGTATATGTGGAACAGCACAAGAAATGTTACCTATAAAGCACAGAATCCCTATATTGACCAACTGGACACACATTGTGAGTAACTCTTTGTGTGAATGTGGTTATTTTGAGGTTTGGCTCAAACCAGCAAGTGTTTTATGGTCAGTGGCTGACTTTTATAGCCCAATATCACAAATTTGCCTCGAGAGGCTTTACAATCTATATATCGTACAACACCCTCAACCCTTAAACCCTCAGTTTAGATAAACGAAAATCCCTTCTGTCTCCTCCGGCCTCACCAGATACAATATCTTGTAAACGAACACAAACCGAGAGCACAGACTACTTACTACTTACTTTAATACTTACTACTACTAATACAAAAATATTGTTTTTGCTGGCCTGCATCTAAAGTGATACAGAAGTGAACTGCAGGGCATGTCAGTATACTATAACATCACTGTTGGCACACTTCTGTCCATCAGTGATGTTGGATGTGGTCAGAGATGCAACAGCCTTAAAACCTTTAACCAGAAAGGGTAGTGAAACGCTGCTTTTCAGTGTGGAATTCATTGTGGAAGTCAATATTGATGTTACTGATTCAGCACAAACAGAGCAACATTGGCATCTCAGTCTTTGCTTTGGCCGCCTGATGATTTTAACTCCAACATGAACTCAATTTAGCCCCTTTCACATTAAATGCAGTGAGTGGATTTAATGTCAAAAATAATGGAGCTTTACTTTCCTGGACCTAAAAAACAAATTGGCAAGCTAGCTAACAAAGTACAAAATAAAATCATCTATGTTGTATGAATGTGCATAAGATTTAATGGCATTCTGTGTATTACATTATAATACTTGGATGTGGCATTTCAACCTGAAGGCGGCACAAAAGTTCATGCAGTGCAAAAGTCCAAAAACAGGCGTATGCATATCCATACCGAATTTCATGGCAATCCAGCTAGTAGTTGTTGAGCTATCTGTTCTGGACCAGTGCTGGATAAAATTTATCACAATGAATATCTCAATATCTCTTCTGATAACTATTTTTACTGCACGTAAAAGGCATTTTATTGCATTGATTACAGGAAGAAAATTAACATCATCATAGTCTCCATTTATGTTCACCTTAATGTAGTTTATATTTATCTACACTTTCATAATGTCACATTTCAAAAATTCTAAAATATGATCGAGGACACATAAAAATATATCTCCTTATTGTGAGAACATTTCCTGTCACAGACTAAGTTTTAATGTGGAGAACCAATATGATTCCAGTAATCAGTGAGACAGAATGTCAGATCAGCATGTTTTCTGTGATGTTGCTGTTAGTTCTCTAATGTGAGTCCATGCGGCCAGACTGCTCACAGACTTGGCCGCTGGCTGAAGCCAATTGTCTGAGTTAGGCAGCAGAACACAAGACTCCCCACTTGGAAAAAGGAGGAGAAAACAGTGGAGGAGTTTTTAGCAGTCAGCCCTCAGACAGGAAGACTCTAGAGGAAACACCAGAAAGCCATTAACTAACCACAGTATTATGGTGATCTATTTGCTGGAATGGGCTACAGACAGCTAATGAACAAGCCTTAACCCCCACCCCCTCCATCCCCCCTCATCCCACCACCCATCACACATGGACACACACGTATTGCACGCACACGCACACACACGAGCAACACATACTGAGAAGCAATGCTGAAAGAGCTCTTGCTTGTACAAAACAGCGTGACAGATCAATGCCTGATTCCTAAATCAAGGGAAAAGGTTATTCTCTGTCTCACTGGGATTCCACTTACTATCCCCCTATATCTAAGACACTCCCATACCCATTTAAACCAAACAACTCAGACCCCCTCCTCCCTCCTCCCAAACAACACACAC